GGGGAGGGGTGGACGGTACCGTCCAGGGCGGCGTCTGTGTGTCAGTGTCTTTATTATATTACTGGCGTAGACCGAGGTGACGGCTGCTGACCAGTCGAAATGCGTCAGTCGCAGTATACGGCTGAAGGCGACGCGCGCGTGTGTGTTTGTGCCCGTGCGTGGGTTAAGTTGAAAGATTGACAGGCAGCAGCAGCCGCAGCAGCAGCGGCAGCGGCGAGCTTTGTTTTGTTCGGCGGAGTTTTGTTGGAGTTTCGACGGTGCGCTGGGAAAGCTTGTAGCGTGTTTTTGTTGTTCGCTACTCCTCCTTGCTCTCGGCGCACCACCGCGATATCCAAGCGGAATCCGATGATGATAATAATAACGATAATGATGATGGTGAAGTTATGTGGCGGAGCTCCTTTGCTCTTAGCGAGAGTCTGGTCTGGTGCTGTGGGCATGCTTACTTGGCGTTGAATCGCGGGCGAGGGGCGCACTGAAGGGTAGTTTGGCTGTTTGGCTGCCACGCTTCTAGCGGCTACTGCTGTGTTTCTGTTTGGAGGGAGGCGCGCCTGCGACAGACACCAAAGTTAGGAATTACTGTTGTATCGGTAGGTTCTAAAACGACGACGTCGACGAAGCACAGAACGTGGGCGGCGGTGCCGTTTTTTTTTTTTTTGCATCTTCGTCTCCGCGTTATTTTAATCACCCCACGAGAACGGATCGGTTTTTAATGTGAAGGCAACAACAATATCAACATCAACAACGGTATGTACCGGGGGCTTGTGCCCATTTTTATTTTCTCTATATTTCCAACTAATTATTGTTAGAGAGAGAGAAAAGGTGCCCGCAGTTTTCTGATTGGTCAATTTTTTTGAAGGCGTGTTCGTCCGTCGTGCCAATTATTTTGCACGCCGCCAGGCTTTACACACACTCGCCCGCACGCCAACTCCTTTCGGTATATTTTTCCTGGATGCTACTTCCTACAGCAGGAGATGGCATCTATCTGCCGGGGTCACACGGCTGTGGACGAAGACCACCTACAAACACTTCACAAATTGATGATTGTTACTGTTGTCACATCATCAATAATCCGATCTCTGCGCGGTCCGTACCGGTCCAAATGACGTGGACGCCTTCCGTGGCCACAGCCTAGTTACTTCCGAAGGTAACTTGGAGGTACTGTAGATTATGCGGCATGATGTGAAAGATAGTGATCGACGCAGGGGGCACGCAGAGGCGAGGGAAAAAGGGACCCTTTCCCCTAACAAGTTGTTTGGAGCATCTTCATATAGTAGTTGTTTTCATGCAGCATGGAGGGGGTGACGGCAAAACAAACTGAAGTGACGATAACAAGCAGTAGGTAGGTGCTGAAAAGGGTTATTTCCGCTCTTCTTGGTGCTACGTATTAGCTGCTTTCAGCAGTTGTACAGTGTACTGCTTGCCGTGGAAACCAGCAAGAAGCAGAGGACAAACAACGGCAAACAACTAGTTGCACCACAACGAGAAAATATCGCGTCTCTCTCCTCTCTGCCCCCGACAAGAGCAACGCCTCGAGAACGCAACCAAACGGCGGCGGTAGCGGATGCCCCGCGAGAGAGAGTGGCACAACGCACCCATCTGCTCTCTATCTACGGTTGGTTGGTCTAAGCTACAGTAACGAAGCTAGATCGCCCTCTGCGACAAGGTTGATTCGCTAGTCGCCATCGCAGCTGATCCCCCCCCTCCCAAGCGTGTGCTCTTCTTCTTTTCCACAAAAACTGATTTAAAACCGATTTTCAAAGAAAATAGGTCGAAGTACAAATAATGCCGGGGCATCATCACCCAGTATGTTGGCACGCAATTTAGGGACGACAAAGAATATTCTTGACACACATTTGCCACAACCCACACGTTGCCCTTGGGAAAGGAGGTGGTCCGCAACGCCCGGCAGACGGGGTTTGATGATGAAAATGCCAAATTTAAGAACTGAAGGAAAGAACAAGCACCTAACCACACCAAAAAAAGACACAACGAGTCCGCGCAGCGATAAAAATTGTGCCAGTTCATCGGCAGACAACCAAAAAAAGAAAGTTCAAGTTTTTTACTCCCGTCACGGAAAAAAACAGGGGTGCCGCATCATCACAAGACCCCTCCCACCCCCCCTCCCATCCGACTTCCCGCCCAAGCAGGCGTTTTCAGAAGAAGGAAAGAAGCGCTGCAGCGGCGGCCAAGCCTTCGTCCTTCCCCTCTTTCCTCGTTTCCTGCCGTCGGAAATCTAGAAACGGCAGCATAGTGGTACAGCAATGAAGTACAACCAACTCTCCTCGCCATTCGATATGAATGCACGGCTCAATGCATGTCCAACCAAACAACGCAGCCTCCATTTAGAACGAAGGCGTCACCGGCGGGGGGGTCAATACCGCCGCCCTGCCTACACTCTTTTCTGTCGCAAACAAACATGAGCTCGGGCAGCAAGGTCGCCGCGAGCTCGCCTCTACATAAAAAAAAACGAACAATTGCCCAAGACATGCAGTATAGCAACAGGAGTGGTGGTAGGAATGGCACACGATACGTGTGCCAATCAGATCTAGTCCAGAAGACACCCACCTACAGTAAAGGGTCGCAACCCCCCCCCGTCAACACGTCAAAACACACACACACACACACACACACACACACACACACACACACACACACACACACAACACACACACACTGACCACGCCGCAAGCAATCGATGCCCACCACAAGCCGCCCACCACGGCCATTCTAAGACCCCCACTCACCCCGAAAACCACGCCAGGCAACAAAGTCCAGGTCCTTTCAAGGCTTTTGCGACAAGCATACGAGGGATGCCGAGGTGGCGCCCAAGCCCGGCGCACTGGGTCTTAAAAGCAGCACCACTAGCACTACCTCGTAGCCGAGCATCATGCGCGTTGAAACCTAGCCCATCTCCGGAAAGAAATCACGCGGTCTCTAAACGACAATCAGGGACCAAATTCATGGCTCTTTTTATCTATTTGCCGGACGAAAAAGAAGCGACCACCTGCTTCGGGGATAAAACCCTCTGTATGCGGTGGAAATGCCGCGTTCCTCTCTCTCGGGAAGCCATTTCGCATCCATCACAGCAACACATCCATTTACAATCGCGCCGTGGCAGCTGCAACAAATAAATGCCGCTGCTAGATGTCTATTCTTCGAGAGAACAGCGAAAAAACACGGCATCAAGGAAGGATTGCGGGCGCTCCAGTGGTGTCGCGACTCATTGGACACGGCCCTGGAGCTTGCTATAAGCCCTGGAAATGTGCCACGGACTTGAAAACATCGCGCCGAATCTAGAACCCCACCCTGTTCTCTCCAGCGACGGACGGCAATATGTTCCGTCGTACGACAACGTTCCGTTTTCCTGAAGGATTTACCATGTAGCTCGCGTCATCTCTGTCTAGCTTGCTATACAAAAACACTTCAACAGGAAGACGCGAACAATACTCAAGAAGAGCAACCGAACTAACGCGAGGTAGGACCATAGGACGCGCATCGCATGAAACAGCACACACACCCCTCCTAGAGCCTGGTCCGGTGAGAACCCGGCGTGCTCCGTCCCTGCTTTGTAGGGATGATGGGTCAATGGTCAAACGACTACGGCATGCTCGACTATGAGACACCCCCCTCGCTCCATCACCACAACGACCAACACAGCATCGCCACACTGGCGTAACGAGAGAGCGAATTTTCACATTTGACACAGGGATTGAAACACACAAGCTGTAACCACAGGAGCAGATCGTTCCCAAACAAAGTTCAATCATGTACACATTCAACCATAGCAGAAAGGTCTACGCTGAGGCCAATTCCGGCCCTACACCTTGACGTGATCTGGCTATAGACAACGAGGATAGACCTGGGTGGCCGGGCGGGGAATAGCAAAGCCGTCCGAAGTTTCTGCGAAATCAGACCCGAATCTCCGAAATGAATCTCCGAAATCAACACGAGAGACTAGCACGGTCCACGGGAAACCGATTAACGTGGACCAACCACATTCAAAACACACGAGCCTGTAGCTGACCCTCCCCCCCAACACACGGAGCGGCCAATGCTACCGTCTTACTAAACACCCACAATCATCACAACATGCCAGCTCTCTCTCGTTTGAGTCCGTCGGCGGCTAGCCATGCAGGCGCACCGCGGCAATGTGCAATAAAACGCTGAAGCACGCAGCGATCGTCAAAGAGAGCATCTACATTGATGGAAGCGGCCTGCAGCATCTGCAGCAGCAGCACCTTGGGCAGCAGCAGCTCAACAAGCGCCCATCTATATGCGCCAGAGTGCCAAACAGCAGCAATCATATCGTGTCGAGGATACACAGCACCTTCGGCAGCTGCTGCCGCTGTGCTGCCACACAGCAGCAGCAGCCACAGCAGCAGCAGCAGTATGAAACGGGGCCGAGTCGCCACCGATGCGCACGACATTCCTCGCATCGGGGGCGAAACCGACAAGAGTCCGAACCGACAATGGCAAACCCTCACGTGCCTGCTCGCAGCGGTTGCGGCCGAACCGCTCCCCGCTCGTCGTTGAACTGCAACATGCCAGGAGGGGTCAAAACTCCCATCCTTCATGACGCGGTGCGATCAAGCCGAATCTCTAGTTCTGTTAGCTTGCTCCGCTATCTTGTTCGAGGTGTGCCTTTAGGCTTTGATGGGGTTACGTAAGTGTACCTGGAGGCGGTGTGCGCGTGTTTTTGACAATAACGGGGGGGCGAGGAAAGAGGGAAAAAAGGTAGGAAGATTGGCGGCTGGGAGGGGGCATGAAGAGGAATGAGATAACAGAGAATGGAGGGGGGGGGGAGGGCACCGCAGTCTGCCAATACCCCAGAACAAACCAAAACGGATTTCACCAACTTCGTAGAAAACAGGCGGGAAAAGTAAACACCTTGAGAGACAAGCAATCAACCTCCAGGATAGCAGGTAAGCTGTCAACACTGACGCTCACGCGTTTCAACAGTGTACAGTGGGTGATGCTACACAGCAGAAGCATGAGATGCCAAAGGTTGAGGATAACCTTCCTTAATACACGCAGTCCTGCGGAATCATGGTAAACGACTAGAAGTGATGCCATGCAAGATTGAGTGGCCCTGATCCAACACTTCTGTTCGGTTGAGTTGGCAAGTCTGAGTACCCCTTTTAGTATGCATACGCAAAAAGGACGGCTTGTCGGATCCAATCTGAGGCTTATTATCGCCGAGTGAAAGGAGTCGTGACTGCGATCTGACAAGATCAGAGCGCAGAGCTTTGCAAGTGTCCCGCCTATTCTTGGTGACAATCTACCACGTTTGATACACCAGACAATCTGCACATCAGTACTACAGTACTACAGCATTAGCTAGTGGTACATGTTTAGCGCAACAGCAGTCAATACAAAGAGGGTACACGCCGAGAACAGACCGATGCCACGGCAACACCGCATGATATTGTGCCGCTGCGGTGCACCCGGACACACCGTGATGATTCCCGTGCCAATCAATCGCGTTGGGTCAAATACTCAAGACATGCTCGTCAGCATCAATTCCACTGATGATAACTGCTGTGAGAGCCTTGCGTCCGGACGCATTCGACCCTCACCTTTCGATCGCCTTGCACACGTTTTTGTCGCCCCTCCCACCCCTGCCCTTCACGAGCCGCCGCAAGTTTAGCCCACGCAGAGGCGGCTGTAACGCCTCCTCCGCCACCGCCGCCGCAGCCACGCCGTTGCTGTCCGCCCCTTCCACCACGCGATCGCTGCTTTCATCTGCACCTCCGGAATAAGCTCTATTGTCGCACATGCACACACCATTCGCAAACCTCGTTTCCTTGCCGCTATCCACCCGTGCGACACCTCCGGCAGCGGGGGGGATTCCTTTTTTCGAGCACGCGGTACCCCCCCGACTCCTAGCCCCGTTTTCTGCCGGCCCGTTGGCCCCGCCAGCGGCTGCATCAGCGCCGGCAGCCGCGTCCGCGCCGCTACTACTACTACTACTACTACTACTACTACTACTGCCAGCAGCAGGAGAAGCTAAAGCGCCCTCGCTGTCGCTCTCGACGGCACCGGCTTCGTCGGCAACAGGGGGAGGAGCAGCAGCGGCGGCGGCAGCGGCGGCTCCGGGAACAACAGAACCCGATTTCCCGTTGCACGGAGCCTGTTCTTCTGCTGCCCACCTTCCTCTCTCCGAGCTAGCCACCGCAGCGGAATCCGGCCGCCGCGGAGCGGATCCGGCTCTTGCCGCCGGACATGAGGGCGGCGGCGGTGGTGGTTCTCTTGCTGCCGACTCCCCATTTCTGGCCTGGTGGTTGCCGGCCAGATGGTCTTTATCGCCGCCGCCATCACCGCCTCCGGCGGCATCATCAGCGGCGCCCTCCGCAAGGGCGGCGGCACTGCCGTCGTCGTCGTCGTTGCTCCGGACGGCAGCCGCAGCAGGAGCAGCAGCAGAAGCAGTACCGCTGCTGACATCGTCACTGCGGTCACGAGCATCGTCAATGGTGATGGCACCGCCGCTATCATAGCCGTCGACAGCAAGCGCGGCAGCAACACCAGCAGCAGCTGCTGTGGCATCAGCAGGAGCTCCTGCAGCAGGCCACATCCACTCGCCCTTACTTCTGCTTCCCGCAGCCGCCGCAGTCGCCGCGCGGCTCAGCAGGCGCCGGATCCTCGCCTCCGCGCATCTGTCTCTCGGCAGCTGCGCCGGGGGCAGGCTGCTGTTGCTGTAGCTCGCGGACCTCCGGCATGAGGCTCCGCCGCCACCGCCGCCGCCGGTAGGGCCCGCCACCGCCGCCGCCGCCGCCAGCTGCGTCGCGTTGTGCGGCAGCGACTGCCGGCCGTGCTTGTCCTGAGCTTGTCCCACGACATCCTTCGCCCGGCGACCGGACTTGGACAGGACCCCGACGTCGCCGCCGTGATCGAGCAGGCGGGACAAGCACTTGGTCTTGCCGTAGCGGGCGGCCGTGTGCAGCGCCGTCTCGCTGTTGTCGTCCAAGAGGTTGACGTCCACCGCGCTGAAGGAGAGCATCTCCGAGATCACGTCCGGGAAACCGTGCTTCGCTGCGGGGGCGCGCGCATCGAAATACAAGCATGCAGGTCGGTGCCACCAGCAGAAGCGGTGTGTGCGAATGAGGGTCAAATAAAGCCACCGCCGCCGCAGCACCAGCACCAACATAGCTATGCCGTTGGCACCCACTACAGTATTGTAGCCTGATCGCTGGTGTCTGCACCTACTAGCGAGACCGCTGCTCCCGCTACCCATTATGTAGCTGCACCTCAACATGCTGAGTACAAAGAATGACACTGTATCCATCTCCTCACCCACCTGCGAGGTGAAGCGCGGAGTAGCCGAACTGGTCCCCCCTGGTAGCGTCAGCACCAGCGCTCAAGAGCTCGTGCACGACGCCCACGTGCCCCCGGCAGGAGGCGAGGTGCAGCGGCGAGGTGCCCCCGCCCGCCCTGGATTTCGGTGGCGGCTTCGGGCCAGGCTTGCCCCCGAGCAGCTGCCTGGCCCCTGCGTCTGGCTCATCGTCCTGGCAGGACATGTTGATATACTGCCGCAGCATATTGATGATGCGCACGACTCGCAACACCGACAACAGCACGCTGTGTGTATGTTGGTATCTGACACGCTGCTTGCTGCGGGCGGCGTTGCCTCGCTGTCCGCTCTAGATCACTGCTGCCAAAGCGAGGAGAGCGTGCACGATTGGGGCAGCAGAGCGGTGTCAAGAAAACCGAGGAGGTGAAGAACGCGCCAAAACGAGAGGCTTTGCCTTGTTCTCACGGCTGGCTCGTGTGTCCCCACGCTACTGCAAGTTTCACAACCAACCCGCAAACCGCACTTCCCGCACCTACATGTACCGCACCCAAAAACTCGGTGGTGGACTCCGCATCATCAACCCGCATGTTGTCCCGAGACAATGCTCCTCGACCACAGGGCCGTTGGGTTTCAACTCTACATGTTGGTGATCGCACCTCTGCTATCCCTGCCAATTTAGATGTTCGCCGCCTTCACACGCTTCGGGAGTCCAATGGTGGAGAGAGAGAGAGAGCAGTCGTAGCTACGCACGGCTAGCGTGTTGCGTGTTGCCTGGGGGGCACGCAACCTAATGCCCCGATTTATGTACACACACCTGGTTTTTCCCGGTTTGTGTGGTGCACAGCAAAAGTTCCCAAGGCGTTATCAGGCTTGAGTGTAACGGTCGTTGATCACAAAATCCAATCAGCAAAGGTATACAACTGCTGTACTGCTGTGCATACTGCTTTACAGTCGACCGAACTCAAAGGCGCCTGGCCGCAAGTGCACATGCGTACATGCATATCCAAGCGAAAACCTGTTTACAGTAATATAGCTAATAAGAGGCTGAACTGCAGTAGTGCACTCTATCTAGTGGCGTCGTCGGCTTCAAGATTCGGACGAGCTTGCGCGTAAATAGATAGTTCAGTGTCGCGTTCGAAAGATCACAGCTGTCGCCAAACGTTCGATGCCGCCGCGTTCGCGAGATCGCTGCTCGATGTCGTCAAAAAGTCAGTACTGCTGTAGTAGGGCCGTGTTCTCAAGATCTGTCGCCGCTGCCGTTAAAAAACAGTTCAGTCCCGCGAGTTCGAAGGATCTATCTCATCATATCACCGCTCGCTGCCGCCACGTACGTACGTCGTGATGTGCTACTCGGGTACCTACAGCTGTTGAGCGGAGCGTGGCTGCCTACAACACAGAGTGCGATGAGCGACGGCGACCGGGAAGTGCGACGAGCGTGTTTGGTGCGCTGTTGTGCCAGAGTTGTTGTCGCCGTGCGACGACCACGTTTGTGTTTTGGGTACAATCTAAATAATATTCGTTCCGCAGCGGCATGCGGGCGGTCACACCGTCGCCTCGATGAGCTCGATCGACGACTTACTTGAACAAGGCTCAGAGCCGGTGGCCGCAGGTCACCGTAGACCTGCAAATCGCCCAGACAGAGGGTCGTGTACAAAGTGAGCGCGCTGACGGCGCGTTACAAGACTGTCGCTATTCTATACTCTTGAAATGCGCGCCGCCCTCCTGGCTCAGAAGACCGCACACAAGAAGACTTACCACCACCGTAGACTAAAAGCGAACGCGTTCACGGTGCGTTACAAGACTGCCGCAGCTACCCTCAAAGAGCGAGCGACCCTGGGACTTAGATGACCACACACAAGTCGTACCGTACGTCTTGTGTGCGGCCATCTGAGCCAGGGCCGCGCACTTCTTGAGGGCCGAATGCAGTAGTCTCGTCACACGCCGTCATTGCGTTCGCTTCGTCTGCGCCCCTCTGCGCGAGTTTCAGGTCATCGTTTGTCGTCCGCGGTGGCCCGCAGCCGACGGCTCTTCAAGGGCTCGAACTTGTCGATTTTGCGACACCTAGGGCGGCGGTGGCGTGACCCTTAACCAGCCGAAATAATGCAGCTAGCGGCGGAAATACCTCGAGACCACTGAAATGCCTCGTTTGGACTACTCGCAGAGAGGTGTGGCTGCGGACGTCCCGGGGACCACTACAGACATAAGTACGTACGTCTGTGAACAAACAGTAGGCGGAAGCGGCCTAGAGGAGGAGAGTTTTTCCTTTCGTCCACAACGAGTCTTCTATTACACGGATCACAGGTGGCCAACACACCAGGTTGTAGGGGCACTTTTGCCAACCCCCATGTTCAATTATTTTGGCACGAGTTGTAACCTCCCCGTGCCCTCTCTTAGAGGTTGCGCACGATGCGGCCGGTCTACAACACACAGCAGTGCTCAACACTGTAGTGTCGGGGTTCAATTCCCCTGCATTACTTTTTTTTTTCATGTTTCATTCGTTTTTCGCCCCGTGTACTCGAATCACTACAATTTTACCGTCGGTACATTCCCGAGCAAACCCCTGAAACAACGACATCCCGTGCCCACGCATCAAACGCATGTTGCCAGTAGCTCTAGCTTAAACCCATCTTCGCCCGCGGATTATCATCTCGACACAGGGTCGTCAACATCCCAAGTTGCACGAATACATGAAAGCGAGAACCATACAAGGTCCTTCAAGTTGAAATAATGCATGTGTCAGAGATATTTCGCTGTGCATTAGCAGCAGTACGATGCTGCAGATGCTAGGAGGCTGTGTAGCCTACCTCAGAGGTTCACACTCTGTACATCTCCAATAGAGGCTCCGTTCTAGTTTGTACACCATGGGTTCTCCCGTCGCGGAGTTCTTGGCGGATGTACCGGGGGCGGGTCTGACGTACACATCTCTGTCGCACAGGGCGTTCAGGAAGGCACCGACAACGTCCAGTTGGTAGATGGGCCAGTTGTTGTGGCAGCCAATGGCGCACGTCATGCGAATGCTCCCGATACGGCATACTGGTGCGTAGCTGCGTCCGTAGTCCTGTCCTGGCTCTTGACGATGTCCTCCGACTACCAGGCGAGCTTTGAAGCGTCCGTCCAGCTTATTCTTGAAGACGAATTTCGTTCCGAGGATCTTCTCTCCCTTGGGAACACTGCTGAAGGGCACCAGATTGTAGACGTTGTGTTTCCGCAGATAGTCCATTTCCTTGCTGCACGCTCCTTTCCATTCTTCGCGCTGGGGAGAGCTCATGGCTTCGTCGTAGGTGTTGGGGATTTTGATCGCTTGATTCGTCTCCTCCAAGATCCCGTGGTGTTCGTGAGTGGTCGTGACGTAGGCGTGAGCACGCGGCACCGTGAAGGGGTCTTCTGCAACGTGGGCGAAATCCTCAGTATCGCCAGGGCATGGGAGCTGGGCTTGATCGGCTATCTCAGCCAGCTGAGTGAAGGAAAGACCGGATGGCTCTACGCGGCCCGTTGTAGCATGGGCTCGACCGCGGTCGTTCATGGTGACTTCTAGATTAGCAGGAACCAAGTTGACGTCGATATGATCGTCGCTGGTGGGCTTCCCGCGCGTGCTGGCTCTGGTGACTTGCAGGCGCCGCATGCCGGAGGATCCAGTTGATGCAGAAGTGTCCGGTTCAGTCGGGTTCGACGATGATGGACTGGGGCTAGATGCGTGGGTCTCGGATGACGATCCAGCTGGCGTCGATGGGAGATGTGGTGATGGAGCGTCCCCGTCGCCGAGATCTTGCCCGTTTCCATGTTCGTCCTCGTGCCCGTCCAGTTCTAGGCGAAGCTTCTCCCGAGCGAGATTGTCTTGCTGCATCTTCCGGACTTCTTGCCGAAGGAGTTCGTTCTGCGCCGTGAAGTCCAGGTCGCTCGTCGAGTGGGGACTGTCCAGCAGGGAGGTGAAGTTCAGCACGTCGCTCTCGTACCCGTTTGCTCCAGTGGAATACTGGAAGGGCACTGAGCGGGGTGGGGATTCGATGAAAGTCACATTCCGGCTCTCGACCACGGCCCCGTTGGATGGATTCAATACCCGGTAGGTCTGGCTGTCGAGGCCGAAACCACATAGCTTGCCTTCGAAAGCTCTGTCGTCCAGCTTCTTTCGGTATCTCTCGTGGTGTACGAAGGCGCGCGCTCCAATGACCCGAAGTCCCGAGAGATCAGGTGACTTATTGTGCAACTTCGAGTATGGCGTAGCTCCTCCCAGTGCTGAGTGTGGGGACCTGTTCAACAGGTATGCTGCAGTCAGCATTAACTCCCCCCACATGGACGGCGGAAAATCTCCATCCTTCAGAAGACACCGGGTGACTCCGGCCAGGGTTTGTCCGTCCCGTTCCGATACATCAATTTGTTGAGGGGTGTTGGGGGCGGCGTACTCGAGCTTGATAGCTGAATTCTTGCAGTAGTCCCGAAATTCGGATCCGGTGTT